CAAATAAATAAAAAATGAAAGCAACATTATTATATCTAAATTCTGAAATAAATTATTTATTCTCTTTTAATTAATCTAAAAATTAAAAAAGGCAACTAGCTTTATTAGCGGTAGGTACTTGTCAATCCTGACTGTGTCACTAGCGTGTACATTCAGAAAGGTGAATATCACTTTTGAAATGCGGAATCCATCTGCACAAGCGTTCACCGTTGCCATGGCAACGTGACGTCAGCCTATCCGTAGTGATAGCTGAGAAAACTGACGAGTGCAGTTCCGTCTAAAAATTCATGATCCGTCTTCACTACCACTGTTGGATGTGTATTTGGTATTCCTATTTTTCGGAAATTTCTCTCAGCGACAATATTTTGAAATTTAGTCTATTATATAGATATTTTTATATAGTATAGTATATATAGTATTTATTAGTTTAGTTTAGTCACAGTATTAATTTTATTTATTTAGTGCACTTTCTCTGTGGTTTGTTTCGGATTCGATTAAAGTGTTCTCGTGGATTTCGTTTGGACAAAAATAATTTTAGACAGACATGAATCCAATTCATGACTTGGTGTGTAATATATTAGAGACTCCGTTTAGGCATTGGAAAAATGAAGATAAAAGGGATGTTCTTTTACATGGTCGACCAACCAGTATTTTAAACATCTGCGTCTGATCCAGAGTGGTCGGCTGCAATCAGCATCTGACCCAGAGTGGGCGGCTGAATCGAAACTCAACAAACCCGTTTTACCAGGCGTGGTGTTTTAATCGCCAAAAAACCCTCAATGAAATGTCGAAGGTTCAAAACTAAAATACCCCAGGCAAGCAGAACGAATCGTATCTAGTATAAGTGCTCTAAAAAACTGTTTTCAAGTTATTAGAGCCCTAAACTCTATACATTTTTTTAACGAATTTTTAATGAGATTTGGGCGCGAAGTAGGGACCAAAACTCCTCATGGCTCCGGCAAGCTTTCCTCATCTTCACCACTTTTTTAGGCCACGAGCCGCCGCTGTATAACTTACATTTTATATGCCTCACTAAAGCACTATCAATGGTTTTGGTATTTTTTTCTAACCTTTTTAAAGCTAAACAATTGTTTAAATAATGTTCTTTCGAAGTTTCATTTTTTTGACCCTAACTGATAAATTTTTTTAAATTTGAATATTCCTTACTCACGCAAAAATTTTGCTTCAAATTTGAAAGCAGTAGATAAGGCAAACAAAACAGTGAATTTCTAAAATTACTATCGTATAACCATTTATGGTTTTCATACTATAATGTTTTAAACGATCTCGAAAATGGTCGATTATCCTTTTTATCTGTGAATAAAATTTGTAAATTTGGCAAAGAACACCAATTACAATAATTTCTAATCTTTCTTGATTTTGGCGCCTTGAAAAAAGCGTTTCAATTACACTTCAGAAGACGATATAAGATGGAATTTGTAGCTGAAGTTGTGTAGTTTCGAAAAACGTACTTGTGTCATCGAAAAGAAGCAGTCTTAAGGCTGATCTTCACCCTCGATTAATTTGTTTCTGATCCTAGAGATGGCTCTACTGCGGCATGGTGCTCTGGTAATTTTTACATTAAACAGGGCAGTCCAAAAAAAGTTCCTATCTCTAAGAACATTGTAATACTAGTTTTCTACCAGAAACTGAAGTATATAATAAAACCGTAAAATAGTTTCGAAACACAATTCAGATTTCCGCTTTAATCTGTGCTTTCTAAAAATTGCAAAGCAAAACAGACGTTGATGAAGGTGTTAAAAGAGACGTGGGGAATCTAAAATTTGCATTCCACGACACGTCTTTTCAACTAAGCAGAAATCCTTAGCGAATTGGTTTCTTGTACTCGTACAGAGTAGATCCGAATAAAGTGAAAAAGACAGCAAATATTTGATTTCACGCAAACAGCGCCTTTGTATCTGTTGATACGTATTTCGACCTAATAGGTCTCATCAGAACAGTTAGTGTTGCTTCTTAAAAGACAGAAAATATTGATCTTTCACGTTGAGAACACCTTTGAATAACTGTTCTAAGGAGACCTATTAGGTCGAAATACGTATCAACAGATACAAAGGCGCTGTTTGCGTGAAATAAAATATTTGCTGTCTTTTTCACTGAAGTATATAACTTTCCCAACGAACTTTATGAAATAAAAAAAAACTTTCAAGCTCATTCCGAGAAAATTTATTGTAAATATTAGTATTTTTGTGACATCAGTTATACTACAAAAACGTCATAAATATAATATTTATTAAGTTGTATGAGCTGTAAACAGGGGGGGTTAAAAACATGAGCTAAAAACAGGGGGCTAAAAAGTGCGAAGAATATCGAACGATCAGCCTAATGAGCCAAATGTTAAAACTGTTTCTTAGTGTCATCCATGGAAGAATTTATATGAAGTGCGAGGAACAAATATCGGACAGACAGTTCGGCTTCATTAACGCAGTGGGTACCAGAGAGGCACTTTTCGGAGTAGAGGTACTGATTCAAAGATGCAGGGACGTTAACTGCGACGTATACGCGTGCTTGATCGACTATGAAAAAGCTTTTGACAGAGTTCAACATCAAAAGATGATAAACATTTTAAAAGAGGCAGACCTGGATGACAAAGACCTCAGAATAATTTCAGAACTCTACTGGAATCAGACCGCATACATGAAAATTAACGGAGAAGAATCAGGTCACATAAAAATACTACGTGGAGTTAGACAGGGATGTATCCTATCGCCGTTGATATTTAATATGTACTCAGAGAAAATTTTTAACGAGGCTCTTTACGGAATAGACGAAGGCATCCTTCTAAATGGTGAAAGAGTAAACAATGTTAGATATGCCGACGACACCATGGTGATAGCAGATAGTTTAGAGGGACTTCAGAGGCTAATGGACAGAATAAACGAGTACAGTCAACAGTACGGACTAAACATTAATACCCACAAAACGAAACAAATGATTATCATCAAGGAGAATATAAACGGGGCTTATCTATACATTAATGGGACGCAGATAGAGCGAGTAAAACAGTATTGTTACCTGGGAACTATTATTAACGAACAGTGGAGCAATTTACAGGAAATAAAGTGCCGCATGGAAAGGCAAGAACGGTCTTTAACAAAATGAGCGCCATCTTCAAAAGTCACAACATATCCCTTGATACAAAAATGAGACATTTGAGATGCTATGTTTTCTCTGTGTTGTTGTACGGGGCGGAGGCATGGACGCTTACAGACACCACTATTAAAAAACTTGAAGCATTTGAGATGTGGCTTTATAGAAGAATGCTGAGAATATCATGGACAGCAAGGATCACGAACAAGGAAGTTCTAGGAAAAATGAAGAAGGAACCAGAGATTGTGTTTACAATCAAACGCATAAAATTGCAATATCTGGGACACGTTATGAGAAATGAGCACCGTTACTCCCTGCTACAGTCTATATTGCAAGGTAAAGTCAAAGGTAAGCGAGGACCCGGTAGAAGGAGAATATCATGGCTGCGGAATTTAAGAACATGGTTTAAGAAAACCTCAACGGAGCTGTTTCGAGCCGCAGCGAGCAAGGTTATGATTGCCAATATGATTTACCAACATCCGAAACGGATAGGAACCAGAAGAAGAAGAATGAGCTGTAAAGCCTATTTATATCGGTTGATTTGTTCCAAGAGTAATTTAAAAATATTGGTTTGAATTTTGTGATGTTATAGCGATCGCCATATTGTTAGACGCCCTGGACAAAATCCATTCTAAAGGTCTTGGTAATATTTATTAAGTATATAATATGAAAATTGCAAAACTATGACCAAAAATAAAGTATTCTCTAAATCATCCTAGCCCTGTATTAAACTATGAACTGTTATTATAGAATTTTGTGCAAAGTTTGGCAAAAATGAATTGTTGTGCAGAACGACATAAGTACACGAATTTTGACGGAAAGGCATTTTTTAATAGGGAGGATCTGTAAAAAAATTGTTTCAGTTGATTGTTCTGAGACGGCACACAATTTTTTGCTGAAATAGATTCAGAATAACTTGCATATCAATAAGGACTACTATTTGAGAATAAGGAGGATCACTTTCTAGTTATTGTTCTGCAAGTTATGCTGAAACCATTTCATCAAACATTTGTATTCTGCTTAGTTCTAAAAAATGGTGTTTTGAAAGTGCCGAAGTGTTGTACAAAGTAATTGATATGACAAACCTGTTACTCCTGTTAGTATGACGTTTCGTTTGAAGCGTTTCGAATCCGAACGTAATCCTATCTTAATACCATTGCTTCAGATGGAGCCATCTCCCAACATTACAATTTGAAAGCGGCAGTTCAAGACATAATTTTTGTTTAACGAAATTTTTCATATGTTTAGGAGAAAATATTTATCGTTTTGTTGCAAATATTTTCCACTTTTACAGTTTTATATATGTTGTTATTAAAAAATTCTTCGGTTTTTTACCGGTAGCTTTATTATAAACCGAAACATATTATTTTTTTTTATTGGAACAAAACTGTAAATTCAAAAATTTTCAAAAAATTCATAAGTACATATTTCTTATAAGTATATATTGATGCTGTAAAAAAATTAACAAAATCCTATGTTTGGTTTTCCTGCTTTATACTTGGAAAAAAATAGTTTTTTGAGTTTTTTCAAAAACGAAAACATGAAGTTTGCTTAAAAGATGTCAAAATACTTCTGGTCATCACATATACGTTCTCAAATTTTTTCAAATTTTTTGAATTTGGAGTTTGTCTTTTGGGGGGGTGCAGATGAACCTTAAACGTTTTAGATCGTTTCTAATGTGAAAGTTTAAATTGTTTATTTTCTATATTAGGATTATGTTTCTTGTCCATCTCTTTCGAATACTTATTTTCTCGGATTTCTACATAGTTGGACGGTGGTTGTTGATTTTATGTTTTGTTTGATTCGTTTCTTAATGCCACCAATAGCTAAAAGCACAGTTTGTTGCCTGGTTTTTTTGTACTGTTTTTTGGGTAACAAATAAAGAAAAAATTACACACATTTATCTATTTTATTAAAAAACATATAAAAATAAACTTAAATAAGCAATGTAAGTGTCTTCGTTTTGCTAGTCACCAAACAATCACAATTTAATAACCGCACCTAAAAACATTAAGTTGCATAAGTTTAACAACATTACCACCAAAAATAAAGAAGTAAATAAAAAGCAATTGTAAGTAATGAAATTCGATATATGCTTGATGTTTTTAATGACTGCGGTTTTATTACATGTAACAGCCCATGGCAAACATAACGCTTCATCATTAGCGCCTCTATTATTGGGTCATTGCGACAATGACATAAATATTTTACTACAACGCCGCAAATGTACGAAAACATACTCTGGGACTGGTGTTGGGTCAGATCGTATTCTTTTAGTCTCTTGATTGAGGCTATTCTAAAAAAGATCAGAAAATCTATTTTAACAATGTCTGACTTAATAAATTAAAAATAGGAATGGTATACAAGAAATAGAGAAATAAATAAGCATACAAGATCAAATAAACAATATAAACGACATAGTTAAAAAGGTAAACCATATAAATACAATAATAAAAGCATAGTGATACTAAAACTACTAAAAGTCTGATAAACCTGGTTCCTAAAATATGATGCAAAAAGAGTAAAAGAGAGAAAAGGAAAAGAATAAAGGAAACATTAGATGAGTGTACTTAAGTGTACTACAACTACAGACATTCAACTGAACCAATTACCCCAACAACACGAATCCAAACAACCGAAACTGAAACCGAAACAAACCAACCCCAATAAAATACACACACACACACACACACACACACACACACACACACACACACACACACACACACTCACACCTATATTATATTCGCCTAACATAAAAGTAGAATATAAACACTAGGGACGCGTGATCAATTCATTCCCAATATCTATAGATGCTGACGAAGTATCTATTTGTTACAAAATCACTTATAATGTAACTGATTATATACAAAAGCGTATCAAAAGTAACAAGTAGAAACTCACAAGTAACGACAATCTACACCAGTAAACAAAGACGCATTATATAAATATAATTTTTACTTTTAATAGCTCTATATGTGTGTGTTGGTATAATTATAATTAAGAAGTTTTCCGCTTACATCCAGCGTACTGTCTGTCTTCATCTTTTCCTTATGACACTATCATTGTAGTGAGGTGATATGTTGATCATTTTATATGTATGTAAATAAAAGGTGACAAAAACAACAAAAAAAGGACATCATACTATCATGTATTAGAGTCTAAGAAATATTGCTGAATATAACCTTAGATAAGTTTCTTGTAATATTTATATATAGAACTAACTTGCTTATTGATCATAGTGAATGATCAGATGGCAATAGTCATAAGATTCCTGTTGGAGTTTTATTAAACAAAACAAAAATACTGCATAATATGTGATTCTCTATCTTCCAAAAGTTTTTAAACTATATACAGTCCGGATGTGGCAGCTTATACTGTGTGTGTATTTGTTTTTAATTACTTTTAATTTTATTACAAACCAGAAGATAATCCTACCTTTTTAATAATAAAAAAAACTTTAACAACAAAAACTAGAACATCCAAGAAGTATTTTAAGGATCAAAGACAACAACCTTTAGCAACAGTTACACAGTTAGAACACATTAATGCTCAACCATATTACCAAGAGCCTTTTATTTACAACATATATAATAAGAAACATATCACTTCACTACAATAGATAGTGTCATAAAGGAAAAGATGAAGACAGACAGTACCCTGGATATAAGCGGAAAGCTTCTTATTGCCGATATCTATATTATTGTTTGTTAACATGATACTATGAATAACAAGATAGGATCTTCCCGTAGCTCAAAATCGGTCGGGTTCGCGCATGCCGTCATTGGAGACTAGAATTTGAATTCTTGTTAAAGTTAAATGAGATTTGTATGCATTCTGTGATGAAATTACTAGACGAAAATAAGTTAAGAGGTTTAATAATTACAATAATCGTACACATAAGGATATCTCCAAACTATTTATTAAAGATTATTTATTGATATATACAAAAACTGACATTTCGAACGTGCAAGTCTCCAATGACGTCACAGAAACATGCGCAATATCTTATCTCATAGTCATAGTATCATGGTTTGTTAACAAAATAATCTCTTTGCTTTGCCTGAGGATGAGGCAAATATTGTAAGCCTCGAAATCGGTCGCTTCTGTAACACCTTGAAAATAAAGATTGTGATTGTGAGTATTGACCTTTTTAATATATCTGTTCAATTATCTATTATTTATCTACTATCTATTAGTTTATTAGAATATTAGCCTGTAAATATTTTGCAGGTTTGTATATAGTCACTAAAACAAATTAATATGTCGGACACGAATTCTGCCGATGAACTCGTAAATATACCTATAAAAAGAGATCGAAAAAAGACCATTTAAGCTTAGACGTTAAAGAAATAATTGTTAACTCATATAAGCACGAGTAACAAGAAAATTTGGAGTTAATATTGTCCACTGTTGAGAAAAGAGTAGCCGATAAAGTTGGAGTATCGGATAGTTCTGTGTTTAAAGTTATTAGAGAATATAAAACAACACACACACACATTAGTTGCACCAAAAAAATGTACCACTGGTAAAGGCAAACTCGAATCTGTAGATGATTTTGACAAGGTAGCGCTAAGAAGAATAGTGCATCAATTCTTTTTTAGAAATGAAATTCCCACGATAGATAGAGTTCTACAACAGATCAACGACGACCCCAATCTACCTGATTTCAAACTTACTACTTATTTCAAGCTTTTGAAAAAACTTCAATTCAAATTTGAAAAACGTGGCAGGAACAGTATGCTTACAGAGATGACCTTGTACTATGGAGAAGAGAATTTTTAAGGCAGATAAAAGATCATAGAAATGGCAATCGTAAAATATATTATTTAGATGAGACTTGGATTAACGCCGGTCATACTAAATCAAAAACATAGATTGATAAGTCAGTCACCTCATCAAGACAAGCATTTTTGGATGGACTCTCAACAGGTCTAAAAAATCCATCAGGTAATATTTTTTGTTGAACATTTTTATGCCATTATATATATATATATATATATATATATATATATATATATATATATATCCGGTTTTTTAGGCGTTACGCCTGTCCGGTAGGATCTATGGAGGAGTATCACCGAGCCGCAAGCCCTTATCTCTTGCCGTACTGCTCCACCATAGGCCGATCAGATCCAGCATATCCTAGTCTAAGCCGCAGATTCATCTAGAATTTTAAACTGCTGCGTTAGACTTTTTTGTTTTCTGTACACCGAGCTTGGGCTCGATCCCACATCCACTAAACCATTCGACAGTGAAGCGAATGAGAGGCAGCCGCACAACCCGCTGAGCTATCTGACCGACAGATTTTATGCCATTATTATTTGTCTTTTGATTAATACCACAATTGACTAATGATGTGTGAATGACAGTTTACAAAAACTAATATTTAAGTGTACTTCTTTAGAAGATTAATCATTGATTACTATTATTTTAACAGTAATCCTAAAAATTATAAATTAATTCATTTCAAATTCAGGTGTTATAGACTGTTATAATCTTAATACAACCCTCTACGATCATATAAACATCAGGTTTCGCGTGGTATGACATTTTTGTATATACGATACACTCTCACACTTATACATCACACACCTATACACGCATCATATATATATATACTATAATATACTATATATATATATAGATAGATCTGGCGCCACTATCTGAGCCATACATGCATCTAACTACCCAACCTTGGGAAACGGACAGCACCGATAAAGCTGTCATTTGGCCCTGTAACAAGTGACACCTATCAGAATGTGATTAAAAGCACAGAAGCTGGCTTTGTAATGGCATTACTGCATATCTGTCAGCACAACAGGAAAATACGTACTTCAAAAATTTCCTAGGATCACTTTTATTTTGGTTTTACTTTATTACTATTAACAGCTTCGCCATGATTGCCAAAAAAAGTGGGAGGCTTTTCGTTAAATCTTGTATATGACCACGGAACTGTATGATTTATAGAATCGACGCTACTTTTCCTTTGATTGTTCTCCATTCCTTCTATCACATCTGGAAATTTTAAATAACTGGAAGTTACCTAAAATATATTTAAATTTAGAATAAAAATATGTATATAAAGGGTGAGTTTTTAGTACGGCATTGGTCGATGATTCCATTATGGTACAAAATATACAAAAAAGATATTATAAAATATGTAGGCAACTCTACAGGGTGATTAATAACTTGTAATATTTTTTTTATAATTAAAATATGAAATTATTTTTAATCCCTTTACCCAGGCTGCAGATACGCCTAAGAATCTATCTACTTATTTAAAGACGCCGGTATTGTTAATCTGTAGTTACTCCTTTTCCGGTTTTCAAGCGGGTTCCTTTGATAGATTTGTTAATTATCCTCGAACATACATTATAGTAATATTTTTGAAGAGAACGTAATTCAGAAGATTTTATTTTCCTCACGTCCAGTTACTAGTGCCGTATTTACCTAGAACTTTCCGATAGTCGTTAGAACTGTACGTTCTTAGAAATGGATACAGGAGGACTTGTCGTTTTTGAGTGGGAGATATCCCACCTTTCTTGGGTAGTTTGGTATTTTTTTAGAGGAACCAACTCACTTGTGGTCGGGCTTTCTTTGAGGAAAGACGCTGGTTACCTTACCGTCTCTGTGCATTTTTCTTTCTAAGTGTGTATACACTTATATATTTGAGTTTTTGATCTGATATCGTATTAGACTAAATATTGGTATAAAGCACCCTTTAATTTAAATAACTTCAGTGCTTGATACAAGTATAGTATATAGCTTCAGTGCAGTGTAGCAGTTATCGAGAATTGCTGTAAGTTATCATAATTATAGTATCTTCAATTATCTGGGCGAATGTAAGTTCATCCATTTATACACCTCTAGTTAAGATTAACTACCGACTTAACTATTGAATTCAAGAAACAGTTAATAATTACATATCGTTGATTGGGAAGAATAGTATGATAAGTCAAAATTGGTTCATTTTTAATTTATGTCATCAAACTACTCAGAATGAATGGATCTATTAGGAAGAAAAGTATTACAACTGCAATTTAAACGACAAGCTCTAGAGGGCTCTGTGACCAACTATGGCATCTCCCACTTCCACACAACCGTTATGGAGAAGACTCGGGCAACTTAGTTGTCTACAGTTCGCGCTAGACTTAAGATATTTTTATTTAATCAATACTATTACAAGTCAAAATATTCAAACTGCTTGCGTCTTATTAGTGAATATTTTTGGATCAAGAGAATTATATTTCAAAATATCATACTCTTCTTTAACAGGTAAGCATTTATTTTTATTATAATCTTGGTCAATATGATGATTACAAATAATATCATACTCTTGAATAAAATAAGTACACCAGTGAGCTTTTTATCTTTATTTCATTTTGAGTTAATATAGTTTTGAATAGAATTTTGCCCTAAGTATAGCTTGTTATTTTTAGTTAACATTGTCTTCAGCATAATTTAACTCAAATCCAAGAAATTATTTCGTTTTATCATTCTATTCCTTAAAATATTTTTTCTTACTAGATACTTAATTAAACTGAGATTTTCATTTCTTTGAAAACTCTACTGCAAGAGATTTTATTATTGATTTATTCATTAGTACGTTGGAAATGATACTTTTCAAGAAACAACTGATTCATCCAACAACCATTCGCGTTTGGCCGATATCTAAACCGTGGGAATTTTACCAGTTAAAGATAACATTTTTTAATAGGGTCAGAGGGAATAAGTATTTAATACAAACCTCTTGCGTAGGTGTAACTTGATAAAAATAGATTAGTAAGCGATTCATTTTGTAAACGACTGTGCGACATGTAACAAAAATTTGGTGGTTCAAATTTCAATCCGTGTGTAGAAAAGAATTAATAAATATTATGTGTGTTGACTGCACAATTTTTTATGGACCTAATGGATAATATTTTGTTCTAGAAAATGAGTGGGAATAGAAGTCGTATTCTAGTAGACCTCGCTAGTAAGATTTGCGAAACAGATGAAGATAATGCCAGACATGAAAGTAGCGGTTTGTATACTCAACAATTATTTGTGACTAATAAAAGTGAAACCAATAATTTTCCCATAGTCAGTGATTCTGTCAACAAGTTTACTACTGATACAAATGAAAATCCTAAAATTGCTTCTCCTTTAGCTGAAAAACAATACGAACAATATTTTCATATGGCTGTTGATTTTGAAAACAAAGAAAACCAAAAAAGTCCAACTATCTATGAAACAACAGGTGCTGAAGATGAAAGAGGACCAACGTTTATAAATAATGACGTTACAATCAGTAGTGAGCGTGAAAAGGACAGTAGCAGCTCTTCGTCTTCCATATCAACCAGTTCCTCTAGTAGTTCAGTCTTTGATAACACCTCAGGCGACCCAAATTATTCTTCAAATAGTTCTTCGTCATCCTCTGATGATTCTTCTGATGAGGGGCCTCCTTTAATTTGGAACCAAAATTTAAGCAACAAAAGACGCTCTGTTAAAAACCCATGTCCCCCACCAGAAAATGTAAAAAAGCGAAAGAGAAAGATATCTCAGTGGCAAAAAAATGTTGCTAAAATGATGAGGAATAGTGGCCAAAGTTATGCTTCAATAAAAATCACGAAAAATGAAGATGGAACCAAAGATCGAGTATTAGTCAATCGTAAGGCTAGAATAATGCGACCCCCTTGCAATGCTGATAAATGTCGTTATAAATGTTCACTTAAGTTAGCAGATGAACAAAGACAGAAAATTTTCGACGATTACTGGAGTATGGCTGACCTTCAAAAACAAAGAATGTATATTGCATCTTGTACTACAACCATAAAACCAAGATACCGGTATACAAGTTCGGTTAAAAAAATACGTGGTCTTAATAACGCATTTTTTTTCACATACGCAGGAGAAAAAATTCGTGTTTGCAAGTCCTTCTTCATGGCAACCCTTTGCATTAACTCTCAAGTAATTGAAACCGTTTTACGCAAACAAAATAATGACGTAAATGGAATTATACAGGCAGATAATCGAGGCAGACACCAAAAACATAGCAGTGTTCCTGAGGAGTTAAAAGAAGAAGTGCGTAATCATATCCGATCTATTCCTCGAATGGAGAGCCACTACTGCCGATCTCAATCAAAGAAAGAATACATTGAAGGAGGAAAAACTATTGCCGACCTCCACAGAGATTATGAGCAGCATTGCAAAGAACTCGAGAAGCCGAGCGTAAATTATTTGATGTACTCCAATATATTCAAGGGAGAGTTTAATTTATCTTTTTTTATTCCAAAAAAAGATAAGTGTGATTTTTGCCAGGGTTTTATTAATGCCTCCGAGTTAGAAAAACAAGAACTTCAGGAACAGTACAACAACCATATTGAAGACAAAGAACTGTCAAGAAAAGAGAAGGACATAGATAAACATTCTCCAGATAAAATTGTCGCTGTTTATGATATGCAGGCAGCATTGCCATGCCCGCAAGGGGACTCGTCTTCTTTTTATTATGTATCAAAACTAAGTGTGTATAATTTAACATTGTACGAGCTTAAAAGCACGGAAGCAATGTGCTTTATGTGGCATGAAGGTCTAGCTCACAGAGGCGCAAATGAAGTGGGTTCGTGCGTTTGGGCTTATTTGCAGTCTGTGAACGCAAAAAATACTGAAATGGTAGATGTTGTATTTTATACTGACAACTGTTTCGGTCAAAATAAGAACCGCTTCGTATTTGCTTTATACATACATGCTGTTTCTGTTCTAGAAAATATTAGGTCCATCACCCATAAATTTTTAATTAGTGGTCACACTCAGAACGAGGGAGACCATGTCCATTCTATTATAGAACGTTCAATTACTAAATTTAAAAAATTTTCTCCAATTTACGTACCAGATCAATATGTAACATTGGTTAGACAAGCAAAGAAGAATGGAAATCCATTCACCGTACATGAAATGTGTTATGAGAATTTTTTTGATCTGAAACAACTCTCAAGTGATATGGGGATGAAGGATTCTTTTAAAACGGAAGAAGGTGATTCAGTCCCTCTCTCAGGAATATGCATATTAAAAGTTACGAAAGAAAATCCTAGTCATTTGATGTATAAAATGTCATACAAACAAGAGGAATTTAATTCCTTAAACGTTCTTCAAAGCAAACGACGAGTTCCATCACCACGTGATGTTACTCTTAAACAAGCTTATAGGAAAAAGGTAGGAATAAATGAAAAAAAGAAAGCTGGCTTGCTCTCTCTCTTTGCAAAGAAAAAAAATGTAGCGGTAATGCCACAATACTATAGGGATTTTTACGCTAACTTGTAGAAACTTTAATTTTTTTAATGGAAGGCTAAGCTTTTTATGTTTTTATACTGATATTGTACTACAGCTGCTATTTTATCATTCGTTTGTTGTTTATACTCAAATAAAACTTTTAAACTGTTCCATTTTATTGTCCCTAATAAACTAATAATTGTAAAACAACACAAGATATTTATATAGAAAACTATTATAACTCAAAATGGGGATGAAAAATATGGGTTGGGGCTGGTATATGGATCGGATGAAAAACTTATATTGTCAGTTACTACTGTAAGCCTTAATTATTATGATCAAAAGGATATTTAGTAATGTATTGCTTAAGTTATTCGATCTCGAAACCCATCTCAATCTTTAATCGCCATTTCTGAAAATTTAATGTTTTTGAAATATCATACTATTCTTCCCAATCAACGATATGAACTTTCAATAAGTTTTTAATATCTTCTAAATTACTAACATTTAATTCTCAGTTATTCATTAAATAACAGTGCGAACAGATAATCAACTTAACCACGTGCGGTTATCAATCATAATACTGTTCCTTTCTATATGTATACAGCCATTGATCGATTGATGGTGCATTTTTTATTACTTGTGTATACATTCAGCCGCCTATATCATTGTGTTTTTGAATATATTGTTTTAATAATATCTCTGAATATTTACTTTTTACCTTCAATTATTACTACAACTTTGACCAGGAGAAAGGTCAGGCTGATTTTCTTAGGTAAGTAGGTGAACGGAGTCCACCTAATATATTTATTATTTGTTTATATATAGTGTGTATCTTTCCTTGGATTTGGTCTCAGAACCTAAATATATTTCCTTATCTTATATATATTATATATATATTAAGGTTTCTTAATTTTCTCCTTTCCCCCCAAAAAATTGAGTGGCGCCCTGTTTCTATCTTATCTTATCTTTGGTAATTTTACCCATCTATCTTTTGTTTATTTCTGTATCTTTTCTCATATATCTTATCTTATCCTATCTTTACTTATTTCGTCCGTTGGACCCATGCTCTACTCTACTCGCTCTCAACCAACTATCTGGCTGCCGTTCGCAGTGTCTCCATTGGTGACCTTTCTAGCACTAATGTTGCCCAAAATCGGTCTTGGTCTTGCAGTCTTGGTCTTGTTCTTGCGTTTTTGCAAGACCGAGACCAAGACCAAAACTGCCTAATTTTTGCAAGACCAAGACCAAGACTAACCGTGCAAGACTTGAGCAAGAACAAGACTAAGCCTGCGAGACTCTTGCGTCTTGCAGTTAGGACTGAGTGTGGTTTTAGGGAGTATACTAGTTCGGGTGTATGCTTAGAGACTCTATGAGACGCAAAGAAGTATTAACAAAAATTTGGAAAATTTGACTTGTGCATTACGAAAAATACCATAAACATACATAGCGAATCAAAATGTTCATTACAAGAACACTTAAAAATTTGACACGTACTCAGAGGTCATAATTACAATCTAAAAATAAATATTTTGTACATTCTTTCCAGCACACTACTCTCGCTCTGAAATTAATTGTCCAGATTTGAGAATAGCCCTTCTAATTATAAATAATATCGTGCTTTGCAACGATATTGCACTACTCTGTGCAACTCCCGGAATACTTCCATCGGTAAATCAACAGTGTTTCTGTTCTTTCTAAAATCGTACTACGTGTCTTCCTCTTTTAGGAGTAGCACAAGCCTTAAGATCTTCCAATCCCGGAGGTGGTTCCAATGAAATTCATGTTTTCGAAAAATCATGCAGACTCCAAACTTCTGGCAGTACCCCATTAAGTCCAGGAGTCCTTCATGCCTTTAAGACACTCAACACTCCATTGAGTTCGTTGATGGTAAATGATACAGCTCGTTTAGAGTCGGTGTCCCACTTACTCCATGCCAGTAGCCAGATGGGAACAACCCTCAGAAAACCTTAAGTTTTTTGTCCAGTTGCATCTTATAGAGATAGAATGTTTTGAACTGGTTCAAGAATTTTTAGCAAGACTATCTAATCTCCTCTATATTCTTGATTGCAGCAGACCTGTTTCCCACTTACTAAGGTTTTACTCATTGGAGATATCTCATCAGGTCAGCAACCTTCTTCTTAAATTTCCTTCTCCTATCGGAGGTGGTAAATCATTAGGGTGATTCTAACTTGATTTACAGCTGTCTCAAATAATTGAGAGCAACTTACATCAAGCAATGTAAGCGATTCCTTAAATTTTATAGAAAGAAATTCTCCTTCTTCCAAGATTTCGTTTTCGCGACGAAAGTACTTCAGTTGTTTACTGTACCAGTCAGAATTATTTCCGGTTCTTTGTCCATTATTCGCAACTCCTTTTCTCAACTTTTTCTCCAGTTGTAATACGATATATGCTTCAACGCCTTACAGACAATATGGACAAAATGAATTTTGATTGAACTCAGTTAAATATTTGCTAAAAATGTTTATTAATTTCGATAATTGAAAAACCAGAGATGATTGATGTAGGAAAGTTATGGATGTGCTGTGAATTACCAAAAAAAGTTATAATACAAAACAAGATTAGGTATATACATGGACGTATAAACACAGATGGACTCAGTTATTTACATAAAATTGTGAAGTCAAATATTTGAATAGTCACATTCTGAGCACCTTCAACTGTTGTCACGTTTTGTTTTAAAATTTGTTATTCGCGAGTCGCTGAAAATATTACTCCGTATTTTATATCTCTACAGGTGCTATCAAACCAAAATAATAATTTATTGGTTATATTAATATATTTAATTGTAATCAAAATATCAAGTGTGCACATAGTGTGCATTATCATTTAATAATAACGTATAATAGATATCAATCAATTATTTTATATGTAGAAGCACTGAAAACTATTTATAAATGGCAACGGTTGTTTACATTTCTCTGTCTTATGGATCTACGTCAAACTTCAAATGCTGTTCCATGTTTGTTTACATTTTACAGTAAATGAGGAAAAAGTTATTTTCCGATATTTTGGCTGTATTTTGAGTGATATTTGTGAAAAGTGAAATAAAATAAACGAAATATTTACATCCCGATCTCTCATTTCATTTGTAAGTACATACAATTTACATTATTTAAGATGAGGAAATGAGGAAGCGTGTTTGTTTACATTTTAATAGGCGTACCATTGGGTTTATTCATGTTCATTAATGTATTGAATAAGATATGAGTTCATGAAATTAGTAGACATTTATAAATTATAAGTAGACATCATCTGATTAAAAAAGATCTGTTTAGTACCTTTTTAATTTAATATTTCTCATGGATACAAATAAATTAGTGAAATGAATAAAACTCATTTATTTTTCTATGTACATAGGTTTCCAAATAATATTGACGATCGAACTATTTGGGTAGCAAATTAAGGAGAAAACATAAAGATTTTTTATTGTAGCATTATTTTGATACTATTAAAAAATTAACTTGAATTCAACTATATTTAATTGTATTAATTTTAAAGCAAATAAAATTGTATTTTAATTTTTCTATAAAGACGTGATTTGTTAATAGTTAAACTCTCGTTTTTTTTTTAATTCTTTGAACGTGTTTTTACTACATTATTACTACTTCCAATTTTTAAAATCTGAATAATTACCCGCGAGTAAAAATTCAAGCACGCTTATGCTCATTGCGGAAGCATCACATTCTATCGAAGCTTCAAAACATTGTGTGTTAAACGTATCTTATTGCTGTGTCCATCTATGTTTATACGTCCATGGGTATATATCATTTTGAACATGTTTTCCCTAGAATGCAAATTTTGGTTTCTGGTAAATAAATATATAAAAATATATTCTTCTACCCATGTAATATCTCAAACGAGAGATAAAAAAACTTGTCTCAACCTTTCTAAATACAAACCTTCGGGCTACTGTGATTTGAAGACATAGAGTCGATACTGTATCGGGTAGTACTGACACATGCAACTGGTTGTGGACTGTCCAGAGATGGTTTTCTGTGCCTTGCAGACATTCTTATGTTTTCGCCGAAATTATATCGTTATCCGATTTTGCCGAAGCACTGCTCATACTACTAGTATTTTCTTCGTTTCCATAAAACAATTGCCATTGTCTAATCCTTGATTCTGTGGAGTTGTGTGCAGCTGATCGATAAGATTTGCCTAAAAATATTTACGTAATAATTATTAACGCTTTATGTTAATGATTTATCTACAAAAACTTATTGTTACGAACATGCTTTCGGCATGGCCCATGTAACGGTTGCATCTCGAAAGGGCATCGAGAACCATCCAAAGATGTCTCGAAAGCAAGAAAATCCATCCATCAAATAACGAATTAGAGGTGGGACTACTTTATATAATTCTAGAATAATACTTTTGGTATATATATATTATATATATATATATATATATATGTAACGATGTTATGAGTTAATTTAGTTGATAAGAGAGTACCGAACTGTAAACTTATAAATAATTATATTTATATAAATTCGAACCACTCGTTTTATTTAATCTCGCTACAGTTGGTGTCCGGTGTGAGATTTAAAATAAATTCAGCAGTGACTTTTGAAAAAGTCGAGAACTTCCGCGTAGTTCGGTAGTGATCTTTGTATGAAAGAACATTTAAAAAAGTACGTGTGTGCCTGACCAAAGATGCTGCTAGTACAACTCTCAGTAAAACAGTTGCGTGAGCAACTAGAAGAACGCGATGAAGACTGCATGAGTCCAAGAAGATCCTCCAAGATCGACTCAAGAATGTTCTTATCAAGAATGGAGATGACCCAGAGACATTCCAGTTTCAATCACCTGAAGAAACAGTTTTAACAAAAATGAATGAGAAATTTGAAAACGTCTCGCAAATGATTTAACCATCTTCTGAAAAAATTGAAGAATCTTCTCGAAAGAATGATGAAAGATTCGATGAAACGTCTCAAATTATTAAAGAAATAGCTAGACAAAATGACGAGAAATTCGAAAATGTATCTAGAAGATTCGACGAGACTTCTCAAATAATTAAAGAAGTATGTATTCAGAAACAATGAGAAATTTGAAGAAGTCTCTAAAACATTCGATAAAGTAGAAGAGAAGATCAAACAGTTAGAGAGCATGATAACCAATACAAAAGTGCTATCACCAGTTAACACAGTAGCCTTAGATCCGGTAGTGAAAAAAGAACCATATGTGCCCTTATTCTTGAATTTCAGGGAGTAGAAATTGCAAGAGAAAGTGACATAAAAGTAGGCGTGGCTCCCTAAAACCGTAAATGCTGTATTCTTGAAAAAACTCTCCTAATGTGTGAGAGAAATGTCACTCCCTAAGGGAATAACAATTTCTACTGATAGTAGGTAAGAGAAATTGTAAATGGGAGCGAAAATAACAATACATAATTTTCAAAAACCTATTGAAGTATTTTGTTTTTTAAAAAGCGGAAGTTAATAAAAGACGGATATCAATCATATGCTCTACTGGAATTATATTATGTTTAATGATGTTTTGGAGGCAGTTGAAGATCTTCAAATTGGCCGGGATGTCCTCCAACCAACGGACCCATTTCTTTTGTCAGATAGAAAATTTTTACAAATTTTAAAATATATTTTGGAATATTCAAAGGTACCAATAGTAGCAGGGTAGCAGTTAAGATTAAACTGCTCCAAAAAATCACTGCTTTTTGTCACCGTGACAATACTGGAGCAGTCACATTTTGTCACAGCTACACAAAAATCGCATGTTGGCCCACCACTAAGGGAAGTGATCAGGTTGACGGTTGACAGTATCTTGTCCTTTGTCAATAATTAACTTTTGTGATTGGTTAAAATTTTCATTGAAAACCCGGCAACACTGTTCATAGTTTCTCTCATTCCTTTCTACTCCCCGTCTTCAAGAATACAGCTTTTTAAAATCGAGAGAAATTATGATGGAGTAGAAAAGCGAGTTAGCTTAGTGGGGAGTAAAATTTTCTCTCGATTCAAGAATAAGGCCCCTAGAGACGAATTCATCTTCTTCTTCGCGTGCCATATCAGAATTATCCGACGTTGGCGATCACCATTGCAAAGGCTTCTCGATCTTCTCCAATATGGAATAATTGTCCTGCATTTGGTATCGAGTCCATTCACGAAGGTTTTTTAACCAAGAAACTTGTTTTCTTCCTACACCTCTACGGCCCTCTATTTTGCCTTTAAGGATCAGTTGTAAAATTTTATATCGACTTCCCCTTACTATATGTCCCAGATAAGACATTTTTCGATGTTTAACAGTCTTTAGCAGTTCTCTGTCTTTGTTGACGCTCCTTAGTACTTCTTCATTAGTTTTTCTTGCTGTCCAAGGTATCTTCAGCATTCGTCTATGGACCCACCTTTCAAATGCTTCAATTTTGTTCATGATCGATACTTTTAGCGTCCACACTTCTGCACTATACAAAAGTACAGACCAAACATAACACTTAACCATTCTTTGCCTTAGTTCTAAACTAAGATCAAAAGACTGATATTTTTTTGTACACACTTATGACAAGTAGAAAGAAAATGCAAAAAAGTATTTTTGAAGTGTGTATATTTTAGGCAATTCCTAGCTGAGCGCTTTCGGCTTTACAAAGCCATCATCAGAGCTATGCTACAATAAAATGTTCTAGTAAGTACTAATTGGTAAAGATTGAAATTTTTAACTTACGTCAATTTTTAAATAACACTACAAAGGAGAGATCTCATTTCCTTAAGTTTCAAAATTATGATTTTTTGTAGGAGTTGGAATTCTTAAAACATATAAAAAACATATAAAAAGTCGACACTGGACTTCACAAACACGTTAAAAAATTGAAAAAATTTTTGTCATGGTACGGGTTTAAGACCCGACCATCTATTGATGTGAGGACGTAGACTGAATAGAACTAGTGAAATCAAATGTCGGTCCTTTTAAACGATTTTTCAAAAGTGACAGGTGACAAATGTCATATATAGGAAATAGAGATTGTTTTTTTAAATTCTTACAAAATTATTTAGTAGTTTGGAATTACTACTAGTCAACAAAGACTTTCTAAAAATTAAGTTTTTAAAATTAAATTTTATGTGTTCATCACATCATACAGAATGACATTAATTTGTAAATTGACTCAAGTCATTGCTCAAGGTCAATGTATGTTCAATCTGACAGCTATCCTTAAGGAACAAGGGCTCAAATTGTTCAACAACACTATAAAGAAGAAACCTGGTATTAATGTTATGTTATCTGATACTTAAGTGTATTAAGAATTGTATGTCTTGATGGAAAATTGTAAGAACTTTGCATAAAAAATTTTTTAAGAATGTATTTTCATGTTTCAATTAAGAACAACTGTCAAATGAATTACAAAATGTTGTAAATTTTAATAAAGTTTAAAATTTGTTTAAAAAATAAAAGTATGAAAAATATATAACAAGATTGCATGAGGTCACCCTTCTTCCTCTAAAGTCTCCCATAATAATTTAAAAAGAGGTTTATAGTTGCAATTGAGGTTGATTTGTGTGTTTAAGCAACAATCAGGGTTTATTTTCATTTCTTTGGATATCTCTAGATCTTCCAAGAGATTCATGAGTCTAAAGTTTTTATTGGGAATGTTGTGTAAAATTTTACTGTTTTCAGAAGGAGAAAAAGAATGATTATTAAATTTAATGTGATATCCAAAGTTTGATTTTTCTGGGTTATTGAGGTGTTCTTTGATTCTTTGATTCAGAGTTCTCATTGTTCTACCTACATAAGTCATATTACAGTCACCACAGGACAGCTTGTAAATACCACTTCTGTTTAGTTTGTCAACTTTGTCTTTGGTCTTGCTGAAGATGGACTTGATGTTATATTTGGTTTTAAAGGAGATGTTTAAGTCATTAATTTTATTAACAAGTACTCTTGAAATTTTTTCTTTTTCTGAAATTGGTCCTAAGTAAGTTAAGGATCTATATATTCCTATATATAGATCCTAAGTAAGTTAAGGATCTATATATAAATTTTACCTTAGTACTATTGCCAACACTTTAGATTTAATCTCCAAAATTTCTTCACATACTCTTCCGAATAACTTCACTATGGTCTCCTTCGATGTAACAAATCTGTTCACCAATGTTCCCAGATTAGACACCATTCCAATCATCAATAACCTTCTACAAAGAAAAAAACATTGACCAAAATAAATGTTCACAAATTACTTCTCTACTCCAATTTTGTCTTTCCCAAGATTTCTTTATCTTTAACGATAAAATTTATAGACAACCAGAGGGTTTAGCAATGGGAAATCCTTTATCTCCTCTACTTGCAGATCTTTTTCTAGACTCTCTCGAAACTAACTTTGTTCATTCTCAACCACAAATAATCCTATGGTACAGATATGTAGATGACATTTTAGCCTTTATAGAAGGCCCACCTTCAGAACCTCACAATATTTTGTCAATAATTAATAATCTACATCCTGCAATTAATTTTACCTTAGAAGTAGAAAGCAACAACATTATCAATTTTTTAGACCTAACTATCAAAAAGAATACTTCCTCCTTTTCTTCTTTGCCTACACTAGAATTTTCAATATTCAGAAAACCTACTCAAACTGACCATATGATACCAACATCATCAAATCATCCTTTTCAACACAAGATGGCAGCTATTCAATGTTATGTCCACAGACTTCTTAATATCCCTATGTCTCAAGAAAATTACAATAAAGAAATCTCCATCATTAAACAGATAGCAAACAACAATGGTTTTCCTTCTACTACTGTTGATAAAGTCATTAGAAAATCTATACTCAAAAAGAGACTAAACCAAGCTTTTAATGTTGATAACAAATCCAACACTACTTCCATATATAGATCCTTAACTTACTTAGGACCAATTTCAGAAAAAATTTCAAGAGTACTTGTTAATAAAATTAATGACTTAAACATCTCCTTTAAAACCAAATATAACATCAAGTCCATCTTCAGCAAGACCAAAGACAAAGTTGACAAACTAAACAGAAGTGGTATTTACAAGCTGTCCTGTGGTGACTGTAATATGACTTATGTAGGTAGAACAATGAGAACTCTGAATCAAAGAATCAAAGAACACCTCAATAACCCAGAAAAATCAAACTTTGGATATCACATTAAATTTAATAATCATTCTTTTTCTCCTTCTGAAAACAGTAAAATTTTACA